CGGCTACAACGTAGAAGTGGCTGTATAGAAGGGGCACGGAAGGGACGGGTGATCTGCATTGAATCTGATCTGATCTAAGACTGATCGTCAGCTCTTACTTGCTGTCAGATGAATGACCCACGGATCGTAAATGATCTTGGTGGCGTACCAATATTCAATAATCGAGGTACAAGGGGAAATGGGCTGGGATAAATCCGCAGATAGCATTGGACAGCGCAAGACAAAGACGGCAATGAAAGGAATTAAAGAAAAGATAATGTCTATCAAATATGTTTCCGCAGTAGCTGTCTCCTCCATTCTGGTGTGCGCATTATGCGCTGTGTGCTGTATTTTGTGCTTTGTTGTGTTTAAGTTTGATTGGAATTTTCTGTATCTGGTAGGCTGAGGTCCGTCAGGCCCGTAAGGTGGATTTTCAATATGTCTGATGGCTGATTATACTCTCTGGTGTCTTCGATCGCGAGCTTTGTGGAACAGGGGTCACAGATCGATCCCCTTTTTTGGAGGGGACCAAGACAAGGGCTTCGCTTCGCGTATCGTATCGTATCGTGGTTGATGCAGTGCAGGATTTTATTATTATTATTATTATTATTGGAACTTTATTATTTGAGGGGCCGGGACCATAGCGGCGGATCTTTGGTTTTTAGTCTGGGGATTGCTTCTAGCTGGGTTGCTTGGGGTTGGTTATCTTTCTCTCGAATCTCACCTCACCTAAATACTAGGTAGGTAATATCTTATTAGTATGTACATGGATTTGTTTGACCGAGTGACTGGCTGATGTACGAGCTTGTCTTTCTTTCTTTCTTGTCTTTCTTGACTGCTAGATTTGGTTTGACTTTACTTGACTTGACTAGCTTGACTCGCTTGACTTGTCATGCTTGCTAGAGCCTAGATGAAAGTAGAAAGGAGTTCTAGTACTAGATGTTAGATATTAGATACTAGATATTAGATCGCGATGATGGTTGTAACTTGTAAGTATGGTCACGTGTGGCGAGGGGGGTGGCGATCGAGTGGTTTAGTGTTTTAGGGGTATAAGCTCGAAGGAAGTGGGTTTTGGCCGGTGCTAGTGCTAGTGCTAGTGGTGGTGGTGGTGGTACGAACAACTTTTTGGTTTGGTTCTGTATGTGTGCATGTACAGAGTGGAGATAAGGTTAGTTTATTAGTTAGTTTATTAGTTAGTTAGTTAGTTAGTTAGTTAGTTAGTTAGTTAGTTACTTACCTGTTGGTTGCTAACTGATTGGTTTTTGTGTATGGTTGTCTTTGCCATTGTCATTGTCACGATTCACTTGCTTGCTTGCTTGTTTGCTTGCGTGCGTTGGGATTGTGGATTTGGGGGGATTTGTTTTGAGGGTGAGGGATGGATGGATGGATGGATTCATAGGGGTTTTTTAAGTGTCTTACTTGTGCTTGTTGTTTTTAGATTTGGTTTGGGTGTTATGTCACTGATGTGATGTAAAGTGAAGTGTACGGTATAGTATAGTATGGTAAGGTAGGGTAAATATTCATGGCTGTGGGTTTAGTAGGTGTTAGATGAGGGCACTTGTGGTGTGACTGTGTAGAGAGATACTTGCATCTCCTCTTAGAGGCGTTACATTTTCTTGCTTGCTTGCTTAGCTGTGATGTGATGTGATGTGATATGATGTGATGAAGCTGCTGCTTACTATGTACAAGTAGGTATGTAAAATCTTCATGCTTCATATTCATTGGCACGACTTTTGCAGAAGACAAGACAACGTAGAACTTGTATACCAAGTAGCATCATCGTGCAGATTCATCAGTGTTGAATGTTGTGTATGCACAAATGATTACCAATCAGTGGACATATAGCTCTCTATGAAGATATTTGAAAATGACTTTCTTGAATATACAAGCCTGTTTGGCTATTCAAGAGTAGATCATACTGACTAAAACTGGTCTTTATCCCGGCAGTCATGAGTGTGTATTACTTGGGTGACATTCATTCTCATATTAACAACGAGAAGGCTTTCTAAGCACAGGATGAGTATGCGTACTGCGCATGTCTAGTGCAGGGAGTCTCATCATGATGTAGAGAATGCTTGATATGTACACAGCACAGGTTTGGGATTGAGATACATATGCTTACAGTTGTATATGTACATGTATATGTTATGTGTGTGTATATGTGCGTGTGACGTTGGGTTTCGAGAATGCCGGCATATACATTGGGAGATATGCGGGATTCCGGATGATGGGCTGCAGGAAACGGAGAGGCGAGAAGGGGGTTATCTTTCTCATGTATGTATGTAATGGGATCGATCGGATCGGAGAAGAAGATTCTGTGTGAGGGATGCGTTGTGGTTTTTTTATGTTGTGAGATGGTCTAGTAGGTGGTGAGGGGTAGGGTATGGTGGATGCTTATGGGAAGATATGTTGTGGAGGGGTGTAGGTGTATTGGCTTGTGACGAAAGGGGTTTATTATTTTTTCGGTTTGGAATATTCAGAAAATAATAAAGCTGGTCGATAAATAAGGGTTCAACAACAAATATGTACAGCAAAGACTATGCGTTCGCGCTACTACTCTATCCAACACTCAACAAAATATATAATATAATACAACTAACGCCCTTGTCAATTATAAGGGTGACAAACAAAAAGAGTTTAGGATTTCCGATATGAAGTTACACGGCATACACTGTAGCAGGGCATATTTACCCAAGTAAGCCAAGCGCAGCAAAGCTATGCAAAGCTATGCAAAGCACACTAAAGAGTACAGGCGCTAACGTACTTAATCTGCACTCGTGCATATGCCTTGTAACATCAGGAAATTAAAACGTGATTCTGTAAGCACCCCAAGTGCAGATGCAGATGAACACGAGGCTTGTTATAAGAGTAGAAACGGTTAGGTGCAAAGCCAGCAATGTGCATCAGGTGGGAACACGTGTCAGTGAAATATGCGGAGACTTCGGGAGACTTTTTTTCAGATCGGGGATCTGAGTTCATGTCACTTGTTGTGGTACAGAGATACGGTATGTTTTGTTGGGATGGATGGCGATGTGAGAAGATGGACTGAACGATGCCGTGGACTTTTCTCGGAGACTCGGATTTCGCTTTGAATTGTGAGATATCTCCGAGCTGCGTACATCGAGCATTTGCATCGAAGCGAGTGCGTAGGAACGTGTGAATGTATTTATCCGATGTTCACTAATAGAACAGAATCGTCGTTGCTAGCAGCGGTCCAACCAACTAGACTTTCAACTCCAACGATTTTTTGATCGGTGATAGTACATGTATGTAGACAGTACAACTCGATCGCTCCAGATCTTAGTACGATATCTGGTAAGAGGTTCCAGGTTACATATGTCTAGGCTGTTTTCCTGGTTTGGCTTTTTCCGTCTCCCTTGTATTCTCGAGTACTCTCCATCTCGAAATTTTGTAGATCTAGCTCTAGGTTGAAAAAGATCTACATGTAGTACTGGTGATACTTCAAGGGTTTTTTCGCCTAAAATTGTTTGACTCTTCTTGTCTTAGATCGTTTGTCTTAGATCTAAGACTTAGACAAGAAGTATCGTTGTACTCATTATAAAACTAATGTGTCATTGTACGGGTATAAATTTTGATCGTGTCTTGCATTTCCTAATTAACTTTATGGCAAGGATGGCTAACAAGTCAAGATGCACCCTCAAATTATCACAAACGGCGTGTCACTTATTGCCCTTGGTAGTTTAGGCTCAAGCTCGAATCACTCCAACATTATTTGAAGCTACTGAAAGAGTCTTGTAAATATCAACTCCTTTTGGTATAGGTTGTACAGTAACAGGCTTTACATCCTTCAAGCTATAGTAGTCATCTGGCGTCACAGTCAACGAGATGAGTGGCACAGAAGAACAAAGCCGAATCTCATAGCGTTGATGTAAAACTTCCTAATACAATCTATATACCGCATTAAGCAAGAATAAACAGCATTGAAAGTATCGGTGATATGGAAGCTATTATGACTGAGTGATGGCTACACTAAAGTCCACAAGATTAATGGCTGCCATGTATGATAGATGCCGTGGACCAAGTAGATGATGGATGCTTGAGACATCATCAGATACTGTTTTGAACCCGACATACCTAAAGCCCGGCGATAAAGAACATGATGACAAAATTGTTGTTGAGTTACAAGACACGGACTACACCAGTAGCTGGGATCCGTAACATTCTTTTTCGTTTTTTCTTCTCTGAGAAAAGAAATCCTTAAACGGAGCACATGATGTTTGCCGAAGTATTATTACCACTGAGTAGATGCACGATTGATCAGTATTAATGAACGGCAGATCGGAACAGGAGCAGTTTCGCAGGTATCCACGGATTGTTCCACGGGAGCACGCTGTGCCAAGTTATACCAGCCTGCACTGAACAATTATACATAAGAAGACTTGCAATGTCCGTGACTATCGTTCACGAACGGCATTTGATGCCATCCATGCACACCTTCGACGTGAATACTA